ACAAAAATTAGCTAGGCGTGGTGGTGGGCACCTGTAATCCCAGCTACTTGGGAGGCTGAGACAGGAGAATCGGCTGAATCCGGGTGGCGGAGGCTGCAGTGAGCCGAGATCACACCACTGTACTCCAGCCTGGGTGCCATCTGTCTAAAAAATAAATAAATAAAAATAAGGCTACTATGTATACTTTCTTCCTTATACAAATCAATTGTCCAGTTTCCAGTTTATGATTTGTCTGAAGCAGAGAAATAGGTAAGAAATAAAAGGTAAGCCCTGAAAATTTGCTGATTGGAATTTTAAAAAAATTTTCTTTGTATTATATTGATAGAGATTTTCTTTTACTTAAAAGATGATAGATTGCTCAACACATTAGAGCAATTTTGGAAAGGCTCCTGAATTTGAAAGAAAACTGCATTTTGGAATACCCAGTAGTTGAGACAATTTCCATGTATAGATGCTAAATAGTCTAGACTTGCTTTATGAAGATGGGCTTCCTCAAACACCACCGTGTTAGATAATTCAGCATTCAGTGCAGCAGTGAAAACTTAGCACTTTAAACCTGGCTGGATTGTAGATAGAGACTGACATGTTAGATTTAGTGCAACTGTAGAATTAATGCTAAAAACTCCCATGCTGCACAGTTTTCCCATATGCTACATAAAAATGCTATATAGTTTCACACTCAAAAGCTGCTATATTAGGGTGCTAGCTGATTTTATGCCTTCAACTTGCTTAATGTTTTCATTTATATACAATAGAGTTTTACACCATGTCAGTCAAGCAATCTACTGCAAAATAATTTACAGTAAAATCATAATAAATTTATACAAAGTATTGATTTAGCATTAATTTTCCAACTGTGAAAGTCAATGAACCATAAATCCGTAAATAAATTGGTGAAGTGAAAGACATAAATGACAAAAAAAATTAGTCTCTGTGTTGTGTATGTGCTTTTTCGATGGCTATATGGGGAAAATATATGGGAAGAAGCTTCTTAAAATTTTAAATTAGTGACATAAAAATAACATAATGCACGAAGAAATAGACTATCTCAACAAAATTGTGAAGAAAACCACCCTGGAATCTGGTTGATAATCTTGACTTACTGGCATCACAATTCAGTTTCCCTGCAAGGGAAAGCATCTTCACACTCCTGTGCTTCCAAAAAATGTTGGAGGCAAATCTACATAACAGAGTCTATTTAATTCTTAGAATATCATGTTTCTGTTTATATGCATATGTTTGAATATCTTTACCATTTTAAAAGCCCACATTGCAGGCATCACCTTGGCAATATAATAGTTTAGGCCCCCAGGGGACATTTGTATCTCCTTGACTACGTGTTTTGGAAGCGATTGCCCAGCCTGAGTTTGGTCGCCTGCAGTGATGGGAATGCATGACCTCCCAATACATGATGGCCTATTCTGTTCCAGCCTTGGCTGGTTACTTAGAGATTATGGGGATTCTTGTAGTTCAGTGTCTCTGTTTTGGTCAGAGAAAAACTTTTTTCTAAGACTATATTTACTAGACCCGTTGCAGCTCCATCTCAACAGCATCAACTGAGCACCAGAGACCAGATAAGAGAGTGACTAAGTTGGTAAAGATGCCATCATCATTGCTTGGAGAAAAACATAAGTTCTTCATGTTCTTCATGCTATATAATTTCACACTCAAAAGTTGCTATATTAGGGTGCTAGCTGATTTTATGCCTTCAACTTGCTTAATGTTTTCATTTATATACAATAGAGTTTTACACCACATCAGTCAAGCAATCTACTGCAAAATAATTTACAGTAAAATCATAATAAATTTATACAAAGTATTGATTTAGCATTAATTGATGGTTGCTGATATGGTTTGGCTCCATGTCCCAAATCACATCTCATCTTGAATTGTAATCCCCAGATGTTGAGGGAAGGGCCTGGTGGGAGGTGATTGGATCATGGGGGTGGTTTCCCCCACACTGTTCTTGTGATGGTGAGTTCTCCCAAGAACTGATGGTTTTATAAGGGACTCTTCGCCCTTCACTTCCTCTCTCCTGCCACAACGTAAGATGTGCCTGCTTTCCCGTCTGCCATGATTGTAAGTTTCCGGAGTCCTCCTCAGTCATGCAGAACTGTGGGTCAATTAAACCTCTTTCCTTTATAGATTACCCAGTCTTATTATAGCAGTGTGAAAATGGACTGATACAGTTGCTATCTTCATTAGGTACTGTTAGTGTAAAAAAATCAGTCTTTATTTGGAAAATTATGTCATAAAGCTGTACATTCACATCAAGAGTTCTGTGATTCAATTGAGTGGATTAGTTTAGATTTAGCTCCTGTGACCACCATTGACCCAGAGGCCAGAGGAATGGGATGCATTAGGCCTAGTCATGTGTTATAACTATCCTATCAGATAGTTGATATCTGATCAATGTGGTGGTATCCTATCAGATTGTGTTGACTGTGAGAGTGTGGATCCCAAAGGAAAATTAGGGCTGTGACCAGATCGCTGGGAATGGGGAATGTGGTACAGACTGTGCACTGCACAACTACAAGGTCACTGTTCACATAGTCTGCAATGTGATTGGCATCCCTTGGAGTTATGCAGTGCACAACCTGTGCAGCTGTATGCAGTAACCCTTGGTGTGACTCAGAAAAGGAATAATAAATGCTTTAGAGGCAAATTACAAATGTCCACTATTCTGACTGGCTAGATTTGCTTATCTAGTTGTTCCCAAAAGGCTTCAAACAATATTTATGATCCCCACTCTTATTTATTTATCTATCAGGTCTATTTATATGTCCTGTCTCTGCAACAGTAGTTTTTGACTCTTTTTTTCCTGTTACAATATACATAAAGAATGATTTTTATGTAAGTTTGTACTCAGAATAGGTATAATCCTGAAGTGTGTTCTGGGTCTAATCCTTTGTCACTCACTCAAGAAAACACATATGTGGAGCCAGGCATGGTGGCCCACACTTGTAATCCCAGCACTTTGGGAGGTCAAGGCAGGCAGATCACCTGAGACCGGGAGTTTGAGACCAGCCTGGCCAACATGGTGAAACGCCATCTCTACTAAAAATACAAAAATTAGCCAGGTGTGGTGGCACATGCCTGTAATCCTAGCTACTCAAGAGGCTGAGGCAGGAGTATTGCTTGAGCCTGAGAAGTGGAGGTTGCAGTGAGCCGAGATCGCACCACTGCACTCCAGCCTGGGTACAGAGTGAGACTCCATCTCCAAAACAGAAAAAAAAATGAAAGCACATATGTGCTATATGTGCCATATGTGCCAGGCATGGTGGCTCACACCTATAATCCCAGCACTTTGGGAGGCTGAGACAGGAGGATCACTTGAGCTAGGAGGTTGTGGCTGCAGTGAACCAAGATCATGCCACTGTACTTCAGCCTGGGCAACTGAGTGAGACCTGTCTAAAAAATAATAATAATAATAAATGTAGGAGTGTAAATTAGATCAACCATTGTTGGAAGACGGTGTGATGATTCCTCAAAGACCTAAAAACAGAAATACTATTTGACTCAGCAATCCCATTATTAGGTGTATATCCCCCAAAAATATAAATCATTCCATTATAAAGACACGTGCATGCACATATTCATTGCAGCACTATTCACAATAGCAAAGACATGGAATCAACCTAAATGCCCATCAGTAATAGACTGGATAAAGAAAATGTGGTACATATATACCATGGAATACTATGCAGCCATAAAAAAAGACTGAGATCAGGCCGGGCGCGGTGGCTCAAGCCTGTAATCCCAGCACTTTGGGAGGCCGAGACAGGCGGATCACGAGGTCAGGAGATCGAGACCATCCTGGCTAACACGGTGAAACCCCGTCTCTGCTAAAAAATACAAAAAACTAGCCGGGCGCGGTGGCGGGCGCCTGTAGTCCCAACTACTCGGGAGGCTGAGGCAGGAGAATGGCGTGAACCCGGGAGGCGGAGCTTGCAGTGAGCTGAGATCCGGCCACTGCACTCCAGCCTGGGCGGCAGAGCCAGCCTCTGTCTCAAAAAAAAAAAAAAAAAAAAAAAAGACTGAGATCAACTGGGTGCAGTGGCTCATGCCTGTAATCCCAGAACTTTGGGAGGCTGAGGTGGATGGATCACCTGAGGTCAGGAGTTCAAGACCAGCCTGGTCAACATGGTAAAAACTGATCTGTATTAAAAATACAAAAATTAGCTGGGTGTGGTAGCAGGCATGTGTAATCCCAGCTACTAGGGAGGCTGAGGCAGGAGAATCACTTGAACCTGCAGGCAGAGGTTCCAGTGAGCAGAGATTGCACCATTGCACTCCAGTCTGGGCCACAGAGAAAGACTCCATCTCAAAAAAAAAAAAAAAAAAAAAAAACACTAAAAATATTTTTATTAAAATCAGGAGTGCAATAAAATGTCTAACTTCATTGTGATATGATATTATATGCATTGGTTCTTACCAATGCAATGATACTGAAACATAAATATGCTCAGTTATAAAATTATGACACATTCATAAATAAAATATTTTGTAGACACTGGAATGATGTTTCTAAAAATTTTGAAAGAGATAAGGAGTTTTTCTAATATTATTGTGAATGAAAATGTAGGATCCATGCTCAAAGTTGACATCACCAGGAATAGGACAAATGGACATAATGTGCCTCCTAACCAGACACATTAAGTAGAACATGACATCACTTCTATGGTGTTTTTGCCAGAAAAGCATAACTTGACCTTAATCTTCAGGAAACATCAGACAACTCCAAATTAAAGGACATTCTACAAAATAACTGGTCTTTATTCTTCAAAATTATCAACATCAAGAAACCCCAAGAAAGACTGAAAATTAAAAAGACATAACCAAACACAAAATACAATACAAGATTTTCTTTTTTTGCAAAGGGCATTGTTGGGAGAATTGGTGAAACATGAACAAGATTAGATAATAGTTTTGTATCAATATTAATTTCCTGATTTTGATCATTGTACTGTGGTGACTGTAAGAGAATTCCTTGTTTTTAGGAAATACACAGTGAAGGATTGAGGTGTAAAGGGGCATCGTATCTCTGAGTCACTCTGAAAAGGTTCCAAAGGAAGCAGAGGAGAGAAAGCAAGTGTGATTGAATGTTCACATCTGGGAAATCTGGATGAAGGTTAGCGAGGAGTCCTTTGTATCATTTTCACAACTTTTCTGTAAGTCTGAAATTAAGTAAAAAGAAATACTTTAAAGAAGAAAATGTGCAATATTTATTTAAAATGTATATGATGAATATAAAATACTGGGAAGAGGTTAGGTATGGTGGCTCACACCTGTAATCCCAGCACTTTGCGAGGCTGAAGTGTGTGGCTCAACTGAGGTCAGGAGTTTGAGACCAGCCTGGCCAACATGGTGAAACCCCGTCTCTACTAAAAATACAAAAAATTAGCTGGGTGTGGTGGTGCATGTCTGTAATCCCAGCTACTTGGGAGGCTGAGGCAGGAGAATTGCTTGAACCCAGGAGGCGGAGGTTGCAGTGAGCCGAGATCGCGCCATTGCACTTCAGCCTGGGCAACAAGAGCGAAACGCCATCTAAAAAAAAAAAAAAAAAAAAATTTTTTTTAAAATACAAAAATTAGCTGGGCGTGGTGGTGGGCACCTGTAATCCCAGCTACTCAGGAGACTGAGACAAGAGAATCACTTGAACCCAGGAGGAAGAGGTTGCAGTGAGCCAAGATTGCACCACTGCACTCCAGCCTGGACAATAGAGAGAGACTCTGTCTCAAAATAAATAAATAAATAAATACAAAAATAAAAAATAAAAAAGACTGTGAAGAAATGTACCAGACTGCTATTTCTTAGTTGAAAAATTTTGAATGGTTTTCGGTATACTGTATTCTCTCTATTAATTGTATATATATAATGTTTATGATTTTTAAACAGACCCATTTTAGCATTTTGTTAGCATTTTAATGTATATATATAGGACAAATTGTTTTTTCTTCCTTAATCTCTTTGACTCTGATATTTTCAATGTTTATAGCAATGTAATGATTAAATAATTTTTTTTAATCTGAAACTGACTTGTAAATGATTGCCAACTTGCCTGCATCAAACAGTCATGTAAGTGGAATGAATAATGGAGAATTCTGATTTTACTCCACACATCCTGTAGCTTTATTGGAAAGGCTAGATTTGTGGATTAGTAATTTCATATTTCCATATAAAAGAGTAACCTAAATTATAATGTATAATATCACAGTAATTCCGTGTGGTATACCTTTAAGTGACGGAAAGTACTAGATTGTTGAGAACTATTGTTCAAACTGTTGCCCGGCCAATAATTTGATCTCTAAATGAGTGCATTCCACTATATGCCTCATAATAAGTTTAAATTTAGGCCAGGTGCAGTGGCTCACACCTGTAATCCCAGCACTTTGGGAGGCCGAGGCAGGTGAATCACCTGAGGTCGGAATTTCAAGACCAGCCTGGACAACATGGTGAGACCCCGTTTCTACTAAAAATACAAAAATTAGCCAAGCGTGGTGGTGGGCACGTGTAATCCCAGCTACTCAGGAGGCTGAGGCAGGAGAAGTGCTTCAGCCTGGGAGGCAGAGGTTGCTGTGAGCCGAGATTGTGCCATTGCACTCTAGCCTGGGAGACAAGAGCATACCTCCGTCTCAAAAAAAAAAAAAAAAAAAAAAAAAAAAAAGTTTAAATTTAAAACTGTGCAGGTTTTATATTTTTTTCAATAAAACTATAAAATCCTAGTGCAGAAGTCGTCAACTCAGCCTCCTGTCTCTAGGCAGAACCATAATTAAGTTATCCTGGACAGGTAATTGTCCATTCCAGTGAGTCTGTAACAATCTCCGTAACCCATTCTTGTAATGATTTTTCATCAGAAACTTCTTTATTTGGTCTAATTCAAGTATTTTCCTTTCAGTTTAATTTAATTTCATCTGACTTTCTGTTACATATAGGAATTTATTCTACTGTAGAAAATTATGTAATAAATGTCCTTGTGCCATCATTTCATTTTATTCATGATCATCCTGATAAAAAAACATGGCTTCATTACATAGTCAGCATTAATATTATTTGTACATACTAACTGTATTTTCTTTCTTTTATGTTATGAGAGTATAATGATTTACTATTACATTGCTCACTTAATTGATACCTGTATATGGTACAGTATTTTGACAAGGCAAAAATGATCTTCATGCATTTATCTGTAACCTCTGACTATACGATGGTATAGTAATTTCAGCTCATATAGATGACTTATGTTGAGTTAAATTATTAAAGAATGTTGAAATGTAGCAGCCAACAAACATATGAAAAAATGTTCAACATCACTAAAGAAGCAAATCAAAAGCACAATGAGATACCATCTCATACCAGTCAGAATGGCTATTATTATTATTATTAAATTTTTTTTCGAGACAGGGTCTCGCTTTGTCACCCAGGCTGGAGTATGGTGGTGTGAATGCTGCTCACTGCAACCTCGACCTCCTGGGCTCCTGGGCTCCAGCGATCCTCCCATGTCAGCTGCTCATAGCTGGGACTTATAGGCATGTGATACCATGCCCGGCTAATTTTTGCATTTTTTAGAGATAGGGTCTTGCCATGTTGCCCAGGCTGGTCTTGAACCCCTGAGCTCAAGCCATCCACCCACCTCGGCCTCCCAAAGTGCTGGGATTACAGGCATGAGCCACCATGCCTAGCCCAGAATGGCTATTACTAAAAAGTCAAAAAATAATAAATGCTGGCAGGCAGGGTGCAGTGGCTCACACCTGTAATCCCAGTACTTTGGGAGGCTGGGGTGGGCGGAATGCCTGAGTTCAGGAGTTCGAGACCAGCCTGACAAGGTGAAACGCTGTCTCTTCTAAAACACAAAACATTAGCCAGGCATAGCAATGTGCACCTGTAGTCCCAGCTATTCCGGAGGCTGAGGCAGGAGAATTGCTTGAACCAGGGTGGCAGAGGTTGCAGTGAACCGAGATCGTGCCACTGCACTCCAGCCTGGGCTGGGCGACAGTCAGACTCAGTCTCAAAAAAAAAAAAAAAAAAAAAAAGAAAGATGCTGGCAAGGCTGTGGAGAAAAGGGAATGCTTATACACTGTTGGTGGGAATGTAAATTAGTTCAACCTCTGTGGAAAGCAGTTTGAAGATTTCTCAAAGAACTTAAAACAGAGCTACCATTTGACTCAGCAATACCATTGCTAGATATATACCTAAAGGAAAATAAATCATTCCACCAAAAAGATGCATGTGCTCCTATGTTCACTGCAGCACTATTCACAATATCAAAGACATGGAATCAACCGAGGTGCCTATCTATGACGGATTAGATAAAGAACATGTGGTACGTATACTCCATTCACGACTACACAGCCATAAAAAAGAATGAAATCATGTCCTTTCCAGCAGCATGGATGCAGCTGGAGGTCATCATCCTAAGAGCATCAAGGCAGGAACAAAAAACCAAATACCACATGCTCTCACTTATAAGTGGAAGCTAAACATTGGATACACATGGACATAAAGATGGGAACAATAGGACGGGCAGTGGCTCACACCTGTAATCCCAACACTTTGGGAGGCTGAGGTGGTCAGATCACCTGAGGTCAGGAGTTCAAGACCAGCTTGGCCAACATGGTGAAATCCCGTGTGTACTAAAAATACAAAAATTAGCCAGGTGTGGTGGTATGTGCCTGTAGCCCCAGCTACTCGGGAGGCTGAGGCACGAAAATCGCTTGAACCAGGGAGGTGGAGGTTGCAGTGAGCCGAGATCGTACCACTGCACTCCAGCCTGGGTGAGGAGAGAGACTCTGCCTCAAATAAATAAATACATTAAATAAATAAATGGAAACAATAGACACTGCTGACTGTTGGGTGGTGGGGGGAAGCAGGGCAGGAGCCGGAAAACTACCTATTCGATACTATGTTCATTATCTGGGTGACGGGATCAATCATACCGCACACCTCAGCATCACACAATATGCCAAGGTAACAAACCTACACATGTTCCGCTGGTATTCAAAATAAAAGTTGGAAAAAAAAGAGAATGTTGAAATGTACGTAGACCAGAGCAAATGTACGTAAGATAATCCACGGTTGTCTCCATGATTTTGAGTGACCTGTTGTTTTATTGGTGTTTAATTGTTGTTGGTATCTGGCACAGTATTTAGGACTCAGTGTAGAAATAAGCATGAATAATACTCTTGTCACTGTGCAGCTCTCATTCATAAAATGCCCTTTAAAAGACTGGGCTTGATGGCTCACACCTGAAATCCTAACACTTTGGTAGGCCAATGGGGGAAAATCACTTGAGGCCAGGAGTTCGAGACCAGCCTGGCCAATGTGGTCAAACTCCATCTCTACCAAAAATACAAAAATTAGCCAGGCATGGTGGTGGGCGCCTGTGATCCCAGCTACTTGGCAGGCTGAGGCAGGAGAATCGCTTGAACCTGGAAGGTGGAGGTTGCAGTGAGCCGAGATTGTGTCACTGCACTCCAGCCTGGGTGACAGCGAGATTCTGTCTCAAAAAATATATAAATAATATAATAAATAAATAAATAAATAAAGTACCCTTTAAAAGGGGGACAGTCTAATCTCTTATCTGTCTGGACATCATGCTACCCCACATTCTTCTTACCTGCCACACTGAACCACTTGTAGTGCCAAAAAACCTGAATATTTCAGGTTAGCAAGGATGGGCTCTCATCAAAGTAGTCCTGTCAGAGAGATGGGGAAATATGCAAGGTGCCAGGCACATAAGTATGGGCAATGGGAATGTCAAGAGATGAGACTAAAAGGGCCACATAGTGAAGGGCCTTGAATTTCACACGAATGTTTGGAACAAATCCTTAAGAATTAATTGAAGCATTATGAAGGGAAACTAAAGAAGCATTGTGCAGATTTAGATTTTAGGAAGAACTTTCTACAGGTGAGTAACACAATGGGAGGGATTGTGGGGTGGGAAGGAATAAATGGCAAAGGCTTGATTTAAGACAATGAAGTGAAAGGGGTGGAAATGTGAATTATCAATGGATAGAATAAAGAGGATTGGGTGGTTGACTGAACATGGAAGGAAAAATAAAAAGATAAAGATGAGTTCCAGTTTCATTTCTTTTCTTTCTTTCTTTCTTTCTTTCTTTCTTTCTTTCTTTCTTTCTTTCTTTCTTTCTTTCTTTCTTTCTTTTTTGTTTGAGACCAGGTCTTGCTGTGTCATCCAGGCTGGAGTGAGCGCAGTGGTGTGATCATAGTTCACTGCAGCCTTGAACTCCTGGGCTCAAGGGATTCCCCTGCCTTGGC